GCATGGGGTGGTGAGTGATAGCTCATTTGAAAGAGGGTTTTATTCTCTATTCAACCATGTAAAAATTTTTGAAATTTGCTTCATTAATTCTCGACTAATTGTTGTTTAAGAATAACGTAGCGCACTCATCCTTAGAATTAAAATTCGGCCCTGCATGATTTCGGTTTTGGTTCAGACGTGAAGTAAGACTTTTTGCCATTAGAAGGTCACTATTAGTTTAGTTGCTTTCCTATTTTGTGAGGTTTTGTTATTTTTAAACATTAATAAATCAACACGTTATAAAGCAAATTTAATTTTTTTTGCACAGTTAAATAGAGAATAAGACCCCCTTTCAAATGAGCTATCACTCACCACCCCATGCCATTTAAATTTTTCGAAAGGGTTATTCCCCTCCAGTAAGGGATGAAATTTAGGGTAAACTAATCATACAAAAATGTACATTGTATAAAACAAAAATCGACGATCGGCGATTTTCCTAACAAGACTCCAGTAACGAGTTAGTTAGGGGGGTAAGACTTATAATGCTCACTGTATAGTACATAGTGGTAGTTGTATTAGGGAACTCCAACAAATATTACCAAATAATAATAATACAATGCGAATGTGAATCCATGGAAATATAATAAAGCACGTTGAATTGATGTTTTATGGATATATATTTCTTGACGTCCCGACGATTTACTAAACTGGACATACTTAAAACGTCCGAAATTGGTCCTGGACTTAAAGACAATAAATAGACATGTAATGGACGTCCTTAGGACGTCCTGTGCTATCTGGGAATAGTAGCACGGCAAATTTTAACGACCATGGGAACTAACAAAATGCGTGGGTGGACAGTCAATTGCCTAATTATTTTTTAATTGTTTAATTTTTCTGTCGAGAGATGAATGCTTTCATTTGACATGGATGCTGTCATATCTCATTACTACAACTTTAAATTTTAATATAATATTTATAGGTAAAAAAATCTACCATTTCATTCACAACCCATTAATCATATTTTATTTTTTTAACTTTGTATTTTCTCAACTGGTTAGAAATACTCTCACTTGTGACGTTCGAACTGGGTGTGCTCAGGCACCAGTTTATTTTAGAGTAGTTTGCACCACTTTACCTGTTGGAACAAGTTCCAAGAAGGGCTGCAGGTAGCTGCAGTGAAGAAAGACAATTATAGAGGGTTAACGATAATATAGTAGTTATGTAGTACGACAAGAAAATGAAATGCCAGGTTTTAATTTGACACATATATTGTTCAGTATTTACTAATGTTTCGGTTGATATTCGGTAAAGCTAAATAATTGTATTTACAAGCCCTTCCCAAGTTATTGGATCTTACTCTGAACAAAAACAAATCATAACGGAAATTAATGGGCAAAATAAAATAAAACTCGATCGGACAAATGGTGGCGTTTATAAATAAAACGGTGTCGAAAAAGCGACGGTCAAACCAGAAGTACTACGCGGCGTTGTAGTCTACGGTCCTCGGCAAGGCGAGCTTTCGGAATCCCATAAATTTCTCCTCTAAGCGTCTTAGAGCTTTTGACTATTTTGTTATCCCTAAAGCGGGAAATATATAGACACGGCGCCGGGGAGTGGACGACAGGAACGGAAGAAAGGTGCAACAGAGAAATTGCAAATCTAGCAACAGCCTAACGGACCACAAGATTAATATCCTGGCGACGCAACCACTGAAGATGGCGCTCCAGGCTATGTAACCTCGTGTAAACCAGACTCTGGGAGCGAAGCCAAATCAGCACATTCTACCACTCGGGATAGTCACTATACATCGACAAGCAATTCAAAGTCCAGTTAACTGGACGGAAATTCACTAAAAGTCTAAATAATGGTGGAGACAGTGATCAGAATTAAATAAACCAAAAGAATGTTAATCGCGGAGCTAAAGAAATGTACTAAAGAAATACAGACTTCTACTAAACGGCAGCGAAGATAGCTAAGTTTCACTTGTTTTTAATAGCAAATCCGGAACATATCATCTGAGTTGGTTAACAAATTAGCCCATTCTTCTGCGAGAGTAGTCACTGTCTTCTAATTCAAGGAATTTTATAGCGGAATGTACAAAAGAAATACTTAGGAACCCTAACAGGAAAGGGAAATTAAATCAATTAGTTACTTAATGAATGTTTAAGAAATTCATGTTACTTCATTCGAAAGAATTCAAAAGTTTAAATTAAAAACTATGATTGAATAATTTCTTAACAACCCGGTATAATTAATTTTAAACAAAATATTCGGAGAAGTTCAAACCACTTCTAAGTTAATGACCCACCCGGTATGAATATTTTTTAAAATAATATTTATAAAATTAACGGAAACTAAATTTTGTACAACTACGGTACAACCATTTTCGGAAAAAATATTTACAATATTTACAAGTTTTAGTTTAAACGGTTTATTCAGTATTATTATTTCTTAAAACAAATTAAATTCTATTTATTAAATAAAAATGATTCGAGCTAATATTTAATTGAAATGAATTAAATTATTTTATACAGCTCTCAACATTATTGTAAAATTAGCAGACAAAATCCGGATTTGCTTCCAAAATACTGATAAGTTTGCAAATAAAAAAATTGAATAAAAAGAAAATAAAAACAACTCGGGAATATAACGGATTCCTGCTGGTTTTACCCGGTTTTCGGGACACACGGATGAATGAATCTACAGAAATTACCTATCAGAATAGTGTACAATGGAAAACAAAAGAGATTTTGAATTGTAGCGGTATTGAATGCCGTCCGCTATTTACCATCGGCTCTCGTTCACCAGCTCTCGCGTCGATTTCGAATGCGCGAGATTGGTAGTGGAGACGCCATGAATTTACAGCAATAGGAAATTTAATACCTATTTGGTGAAACTGATGTTGCCCTTTCTATTAAATCATTTAAAAAGAAACATAAAAAAGATTATTTAATTAATAAACAACACTAAAAAATGTTCATCTTACTGCTCTAACTTTTGCTGTATTCCTTTCTGGCGAAAATGTTATACGTTTTTTTTTTTGTTTTTTATTGATTGTTATTATAATTTTCTGTAAATATTTTTAAAATATATTTTTTATATATTAAAAAATCTATGCAATATAATTACCCTTTCAATTATATATAAATATAATGCACTAGGTAGGTACTTAATGTCTAGTATTTGTAACTTCCAAATATTTATTTTTCTCTTCCTCTTTAATTACATTAGGACATGGGTATGGACATATAAATATATTTAATTTTGTATTTGTAGGTTTTAGTGGAAGAATTGGTCTGCAGACCTAACTATTATCTTTTATTTATCATCATTAATTGTTATAAAATTATGTATTCTACATTTGTTTTATATGATAAATAATAAACTAATATTATTATTATTATTATAATCGATAATTATTTGCAAATCGACGGAATTTCGGAAAATAATAATTTAAAAATCGGGGAACTTTAAGAAAAGGGTTGATCTAGGTTGAAAATAGGAATGCATTTTTAGTTCATTACAACTTATTAAACAAAAAACTTATAGATTGGGTTTTTGTTAAATAATTTATTTGAAACAGACACAATGAATCTGTTCAATAGTTTTTTACAATTTGTAATGCTGATATTATTCGGTTCCTGATCGGCAAATGGATCCGTGCAAAGCGTAGTGGAAAACGTTCAGTGGCCGTCGCTGTATAAATATTTGATTATTTATTAGGTCGCAGGTAAAATAGAGTATGCTATGCTGAGACTTATACACTCAATTAATAGTTACTATTAGAGAAACGTTACAAAATATACTATTCTCTATCAGCGATTAATGGTTTAGATTTGAAGTTAACCTCCCTTTCTCACTTACAATCTGTTATTTCTAATTTTTATTTTATCTGGAACATATTTTTTATCAATGTACAACTAAAAAAAAAAGCTATCTCTGTTCAGTTTTTAAAGCGTATTGCGCATATGCAAGCAAAGTATGGAATCAGTTTTAATGCAAGAAAGGTGTTGTGTCTTTTTCCAGTTAAATTTTTTTATTTTATTCACTCTCAAATTCTTAACTATCTATTCTAATTCATTATTCATTATTTCATTATTCAGTAATTACTTCGTTGTTCAGTAATTATTTCAATATTAATTATTTCATTATTCATTAATTTAAATAATTAATAAATCACAACTTATTTCATTAATAACAAATTTTCTTATCGTGTACTTATATTTTCATTAATCATAATCATAACTTAGTTTTTTCCCACAAGAATTATTTCTCAATATTTATAATCTATAATTACGCTATTTATTTTAATTTTTCTTATACTACACTTTATTATTATTCAATGATTCCACTAGGCTATTAATTCTTTTAATAAGAATGAAATATTATCAGTTTTTTTAAGACTACTTTTTTGTTATGTTTATTAACTTCCTTTTATTATATGTAAGTATTTAATTACTTCACTTTTGTCATTATTGTCCACCAATTTTGTGTTTTTTGTATTACGGGCATTTTGTTAAATTTAATGTTTAAAAATTTTTCCATCCATTTAGAGTTGTTTTATTCCTATTAAATTCTTTTAGAATTAATGAATTATTATATTAGTATTATTTTCATTGCACGCTCCATTTACATTCTCTAAGAAGAAGAAGTTAATTTTATCCAGTAGTGGAAAATTTCTTAGCTGTATGGATCATCTGGAGTATTTCTGAATTTTGCATCAATTTAATAATAATTTCTAGTAGGAATTTCATTAAATAATGTACTTATATAGATCGCTTTTTAGAATCAGCACATTCCACTATTTATTAATTATTATTACACATTTTATACTAAAATAACATTTTAAATGCTTCCTAATAATCTTATCAAATAAAAAACATATATTAAACAATTTAGATTTATTTACAACTCCCAAAAACTGAAAAAAGTACAATTAATAATTCTGAAAAGAGTTCCAAAGTGTCGCGATCGTCAGCGCAGGACCAGAATCGATCAGATACTGAAAATGTGGGACCTATGCCGGTTTCTGTTTCTTCCACAGTCGTTTTCTCTGTTGGCAACGTCGAATGTGACTTTTGGTTGAATTGTAAACAACGTCGGAAAAATGGTGAGTAAATATTTGCGTTCTTATTGTATCGAAATATATTCGAAATTTAATAGGCCTATTATGCCAAATTTATTCTTTTGACAATAACTTGATAACGTAAAAGTAAGGATTTTCAATTTTAGTACGAGAGTTTCGTGAAAATATATTCTATAAATTTAAAAAAATTCAATAATAATTTGAAAACAACGTATTAATATATTTTATCATCAATCTTGTTGTTTTCAATAATAGATAAAAGAAAGTGTCAGAAATAGAAAAACAGATTATCTTTCTGTATTAATAATACTAATCTCACACATTTTTCCCATAATTAGGAATAGGTAAACATAATTATTGGGAATAGATTGAATTAATTGATGCAAATTTAAGAAAAATACTCGATTAGTGTAAATAGAACAATTTGTATAAATAAAAACAAGTGACATGTAAGATTTAAATATAAATAGGAAAAAATTAATTTTATGAAAGACAATTAAATAATATTTATATCTAGTTTTGTTCAAAGATTTTAAAGATTTTTTTTTTGGAACTAATCATCCAATAGTATGGCATGCTGCAGGCAGGTCCAGGATCGGATTTTAAATAAATGTTACGATTTAGTTTATAATAATATTTGTAAATATCTTAAAAAGAAAGAAAGTGTTATAAGTACTTAAACACTTATACAATTATGAATGGTCAAAGTCACAGCAGGATGTTGCGAAGATTAATGCATCGAGTTATTTGTATCCTTTTATTATTAAAAAATTCAAGAAAAAATGTAAATCAGAATTATAATTTTATAACAATCCTTCTGAGACTACATAATCTCTATGAATTTCAAAAGTATATAGTGTTATTGTGACGCAAACTGGGGGGCAGGTTTTAAATATAAAATACCCTTCGGTAAGAATTAGACGAATTTTTTATGTGACATAGAACTTGACATATCGGTCAAATGTCTCCGTTGCATCAAAGCTTAACAGTTTAATTGTTTTTAATTTACAGAGTGTCCAAAATCAGAATTTCATAATTTTAAAATATCATAAAAAGCATTATTTTTTTGTAAAAATTGAACAAAATAAGTAACTTCTTTTAGAACTACTTTTCTTTTATACCCACATAGTACATTAGCATCCTGTATAAAAAAAAATTAGTTGATTTAATTTAAATGTTTATTTCATATGTAGTTACTATAAACTTGCTCCAATTTCACTTCGAAGGTTCTAATTGTAAAAAAATGTCATAAATATTTTTTAAATCATTTTCAAAAAATTGGAATAATATTTTTCATGCTGTAATAAACTACAAAATAACTTCTAAATTCTATTTATGATGCTTATGATGACAATGACATGCCTCCACACGGTTGGAATAGAACCTGGGGTAGGATATGGTGGGGCGAGATGTAGCTTTTGACAGAGGGCGCTCGATACGTTTACACTGCTTCAATAAGCATAAGCCATATAAAGTTGTAACAGAACATATAGAAGAGCCGAAAGTGGGCAGGTACGATTCATACTACATGGACGGTTCTAAAACAAAACAAGGCTTAGGATGTGGAATATACTACAGATCCTTAAACCTAAACATAAAATGGGGGGCTCTGGGCAATAGCATCAGTGAAGTTCAAACAAAGCTCACGGGGATTCTCATAGCACCAAATGGAAATATCAAAACCAATATCACTGGAAGAAACATGATCATCTATACAGGTAGCAGACAAGCATTATTCACCATGGACAGACCACGAATTTACTCAGGGTTAGTACTAAAATGTCATAAAGCTTTGGCCGAAGTATCCATCATTGATATGGTCACGTTAAGATGGATCAACGGTTACAACAGGAAAGCAGCTAAATAAATATTTTTTTTTTGGACCTGGCCCTCTCATTGGACTGACAATATCGGTAGTGACAAACCTAATTAAAGAACATTCCCTTGTGAAATTCAAGGAAAGATGGGATAAAACAAGAAACTGCAGAGTTTCCAGAGAACTTTTAAGTTATTCTGAAAATAGTACAGCAAACAAATACTACGATTAGACATAATCTGCGCCTGATGACAGGCATTCTGACTGGTTATTGCCCAGTACGGAAGCCTCTTCATATCCTGTGGCTCTCAGCAGCTGCTGCGAGCAAGAAGATGAGACCATCGAGCATATTCTGCCGGGTGCTCTCATTTATTAGAATATTTGTTTTCGGCAAGTATCGACCAACACCGTCCGATAAAAGAGAATCACTTCTGGGTGACGCTGTAAAGTACAATAAATCTGTAGGCTGGTTCACGAGTTAGGAGGTGTCTTTTTACTTAGGAGGATGCACAATGGGCCTAGTGAGGCCTAAGTGCCGTGGGGGTAATTCACCCTCCGCATGTTTTAGATACAGAGAACAAATGGTGTGCTTTGAGTAAAAGTTACAAAATTACTTTGAAATCTATTAATGGTCCATCGAGCCAACGTTTAAATATTTAAAAAAACCTATGGAAAAAGTGAATTTCAACATAAATGAAAACAAGAAAATGAAGTCCTTTTGCCAACTTTAAATATGCGCCTACAAACCAATAAGCTAATTTTACTACCAAATTTTATCATGTAGAAAAACAAATTCCAAACTCAGACCAAAGAAGTAGCCGAAATGCATCAAATTAAGATACGTATTAAGTGAATTCGACTACTAAGAACTTTTGCTCGATTAAAGTTTCTCCATATCTACTCACAACCAACTTCCGCTCGATTGGAGTTTATATTCAGACCCAAGAAGCATCAATGGTTTAACAGCAAATCAAATCTCGTATCAAGCGAATTCGACAACCATACAACCAAGGACTTCCGCTCTAGTGAAGTTTTCCATATATTCTTACAACCAAGGACTTCCGCTCGATTGAAGTTCTTTATACTCAGATCCAAGAAGCATCAACGGTTAAACATGAAATCAAACCTCGTATCAAGCCAATTCGACAACCATACAACCAATTGAACTGATTGAAGTTCTCCAGATCTACTTACAACTACGAACTTTATCAATCAGATGACCTAATTGAAATTGAGTTTACGAGGTTCACACTATTTACTTCGATTGTACTTTATTTTTAAGAAGATTCCTTATTATTTCTGTGATAGTTTTTGTCGATTTATTGTGTATCTCAAACGAAATTCCCTAGTAGGTTTGGGTTCCCCTCTTTCATTCGTTTCTCTTTTCTTATTTTTCTATTCTGAGCTAATGTCCTGAGTTATGCATTACTTTTGATAAACTGAATCTTCAATTCCTTTAGGAGGTGTTGATGGTGCATTAAGAAGGGTATGAAAAGTTAAAATTTTGTTTTAAATTTACCAATTCGCTGACATGATAATTCTTTTATAAACAGTTTTAATCCCTTTATATAAGGCTTTAGTTACTTCCTATCTGTATACAGATAAGGAAAGTATAGGAATCATGATTTTTTTCGACCTCGAGTTTTAGATGGATTTTTATGTTTTGAGGTCCCCTGAATTCGTTTTGACTATTTTCACGATGATGTCTATGTGTCTGTATCCACGATAACTCATGAACGGATACAAAGAAAAACACCAAATTTTAAACTTATGCTTTATTCCAGCATGCGGTTATCTGATTAGATTTTGGGCAGAGTCGGAACATCGGGGGGTACTTTATAGGGGGTCATTTTTTATTTTATGAAAGATATCTGTTATTTACGTTTGGAGAAGAAAATTCTTTAAATAAAAGTTACTTCTCATATTATTCTCTATAATTTTTTTTTCTATATAAAATTTTTCTAAAAAGGCGCGTATTCGAGAAATTTTTCAAAATGTAAAAAATTCTGATTTTTAAGACAATTGTTGAACTAAAAGATGTTTGCGATATCGATCTCTATAATTTTTGTTTTTTACATGATTTCTCTAAAATGTATAAAATTTAAATTTTTTAGCATTTTCGTTGGCAATGAGTGTATAAAGAAAAATAAATGTGGAAATATATATATATATATATATATATATATATATATATATTAAATTAACCTCTAAATATTAACAGAGGTACTACAATAGGTTTCACAAAATAACTGAAAAAAGCCTGTAATAACTAGATAGGAAAGTCATGTGTTGGACACATCATATTTTTTTCCAGTTCACGTGATTTTTAGATTTTCTAATATTATTTTCTATTTTGTTCTATCAGATTCTCCACTATTTGAACCGATGCTCCTCTGAAATTGGTACAGTTAGAGTAGATAAGATTATATTTAAAGGGACTTGGACACTATTTGTCTTTGTCTACCGCAACTTTTTTAAATCTACTGTGGGACTCCATTAGTTATAGTATGTTGTCTATCTTGGTTAAAAGGTTATTTATAACTATGACGTTTAAATTTTAACCCAACCCCTATTCGATATTCCATCAATTTAATTTCGTGTTATTAGACTATATATTTGATATATAATCATTACATAAGTTATAATTTTAACCAAATAATACCCAATACAAAATTAAAAATAACATCCTGTTATGTTTATAACCCAGAGTTAATTTTAACCAATTTTTTAGAGAATAGACCCTAGTAGCTTTTTCACTGGTTCCATCATGTAGTGAGATGCGTCTGGCTTTTCTTCCCCTAGTGTTAGAATCCTCAATCTAGCCAGGCCTTCATACTGGCATAGGGCGTGATTTGATGTTTCGGCTCCTTTTTTATAATTCCTGCACAATGTTACTTCTTCTAATGGATTGCTGATGCTCATGTACCCTTAAGCGAGTCTATGGTAAGAAGACCTACTGTTATCATAACAATTTGTCGTTTTAGTGAAATTGGCCAAAACGGTTGTTCTGACTGAATCCTGGATAGTTGTTTCATCATTTTTGAGACTTATGTTATATCCATTGTTTAAAGAATTTCTTGCATAAATCTTGTGAAATAACCGTTATCAAATAAGTGTTATTTCTTAAGTTTAACACCCTGTATCTCAAAAACCAATCATAGGATTTGAATGGTCCCATGAACACTATTGCTTAAGAGGTTGAGAACTGCAACATATCAAAAATGTATGACATTTATCAGGTCGCCACTTCTCCATAAGCGGTGTGTGGTGTAGTTTTTACAAGACCATGTTTGTCAGACCATGTTTTATTTTAATGAAAGCAAACAATCATTGAATTAATAACACATGGATTTAGCAAATATACTAAATAACTAAATAACTAAATAAGTGTAAAACATTTAAGGGGGATCTTTCGTATAAAGAAACTTCATTGGAGCATCCTTGTTAAGATACAGCCCCTTAAAGGGGGTACATAAAATTTGTTTAACAATTTTTTTCACAAGCACTAAACAAGTTACAATATTGAAATTAACCTGACATTTTCTACTACCAAAAAGACACTTAGCCAGTAATTTATTTGGTTTACCCCATGGTTGTAAGGGGTGGAAAACGCAACCCCTAAAATTTCGTTCCAACGTAACTTTTTGTCTTATTATTTGTTTACCATTTAAAATTTTATTTCCGATAGCCTGTTTCATTCTAAACAAAAAATATCTCTTGAATTTTTTGCCCAAAATAAACCAGTTCGCAGCAAAAAATTACTTTACGAACAAGATAGATATCGCCATAAAATGAAAATACGAAACTAATTTATCTAGTAGGCCGCTATTAGCGATACTGACAATTACATTGAAATCAAGCTGTCAGTTTGTACATTTTTGAAATTGAAGTAATACTAATTGTGTATTGTTGTTCTGTTCGTAATTTGTTACTTTAATAATTCACTTGTTATTAAAATGGCATGTACAAATGAGAAAATGGCTGATATGCATTACGTTTACGGTCTGTCGCAGGGGAATGGGTTAGAAGCTTCTAGAAGATATGCTGAAATGTATCCTCAACGGCAGCATCCTTCACATATAATATTTGCCCGACTTCATCAACGATTACGAGAATATGGTTCATTCAACAAAAGAACGCACGATTGTGGTCGCCATCGAGAAGTAAGAACACCACAGCTTGGAGGAAGCACTACTTAATTTTAATGAAGAACAACCTACTACCAGTACTAGAAAGATTGCTTTCCAGCTAAATGTTGATCATATAACGATGTATCTCTGTAGTTGTTCGTAAAATAATTTTTTGCTGCGCTGGTTTATTTTGGGCAAAAAATTCAAGAGACATTTTTTGTTTAGAATGAAACAGGCTATCGGAAATAAAATTTTAAATGGTAAACAAATAATAAGACAAAAAGTTACTTTGGAACGAAATTTTAGGGGTTGCGTTTTCCACCACTTACAACCATGGGGTAAACCAAATAAATTACTGGCTAAGTGTCTTTTTGGTAGTAGAAAATGACAGGTTAATTTCAATATTGTAACTTGTTTAGTGCTTGTGAAAAAATTGTTAAACAAATTTTATGTACCCCCTTTAAGGGGCTGTGTCTTAACAAGGAATGCTCCAATGAAGTTTCTTTATATGAAAGATCCCATCTTTTTTTCGATGAAGAATCACCCCCTTAAATGTTTTACACTTATTTAGTTACACCCTGTATTACTTCATTACCCGAAATAATCATTTCCATTTAAAGCAGACAAACCTTAGTATATACCTATATTAATACTTCCCACTTTCGTCTTTCAGCTCGATGCTAATAATAGGCAGGTAAAATTTGCAATTGTAATGTTCTGACTCGGTTCGAATCCCTAGCGGGTCATTCTAACAAATGCACTGCATATATTATTTTGTAAATTGGACTATAGTAATTTGCATGTATCATTGTGACTGCGAGGAGATGAAAATCTACGATTTACGTGAAATCTCTTAAACTCAGAGGTGTTTTGGTATTTAGTCTAAATGAATATACAGAAATTTTTTCACAGTTACAAAAATTTGTAAATAATGTTATGTATTAATCCTTAATTTTATAATATTTTTTTTCTTCCAGTACGGATTTGTCAACTATGCCTTAGAAGTTTTGGTAGTAAAAACGTTCGGGGAAGAGACATGGGAAATTATAAAGTAAGTAAATATCTTTAAATATTCTTTTGCTTGCTATCTACTGTAATAAAACCCGAAAATGAGTGCAGTAAAAGTAGGAATAATACGTCACAATACAGAAGCGTAGATATTTTAGAAAATACCTATATAGTGTGGTCCATATGCATGGAATAAATTAGCAAGGTAAAATAAAAGATTACATTCTAACTTAACTTAAACAGAACAAATTAATGATAAATGAAGAAAACAAAAAATAGATTTATCGGGAATTTTTTATTTTTATAAACCTTCTTCTCCTTCATGTTATAAACTTAAGGTGATTACAGCACCCCTTATAATTTTCGAACAAGCATATCTCAAAAAGTAATTTTTTTAAAAAATTAAAATTTTGGCAATATCAATGAGGCAATAATATCTAAAATATGCATATATTTTAAAGTTTTAGTTCCTTCCAGTTTCCAAGAAAAAAAATCAAAGAGCTCTAAATTTTGAAATATCATAATGAAAATAAATGCATTTCTCAACAGCACTATTCTTTAATTTAAGCTCTTAACCCTTTCACTGCGGAAAGCGCGATATCGCGTCCTCTGGTTGGTTAGTAAAGTGCAGTAGGCGCGATATCGCGTCCCATATAAATATTATTTTAAATGCTTACTATATTATCCGCAGTTTGTGGAAGCGCACGAATCTCCCTCCGCATATGCGATAAGACTTATTTTACTTAAATCTGAGCGCCGTTCCGGAATATGTTGTTTATATTCGTGAGGTGCGGATTTTAAACATAACCTGTAATTTTGACGTTCTGTTTATGTTGCGTGTTGTGTTTTGGTCTCTTTATTTAAAATGGATTATTCATAAGAGCCTGGACCTTCATGTACCAAAAAAAGAAAAGTATTCAGAAATTCAAAAAAGCTAACGGTAAAGGATATGATGGAATTTTTATACAACTCTGTCAAAGAAAGTGAGCCAGACGACGATGAGAATGAATGTAAGCAATTTTTTTATGATATATTGTATTGTTAAAATTAAAGGAAATATATTTTTTAGTTGAAGTGGAAGATTTTTATAATAGTGATTTTGACAAGAGTGATTCAACCGATGATAAAGAAAGTATTATAGAAAAGTTGTGTACAAGAGGAAAAAGAAATGGTTGTAGATAATGAAATTGTAGAGGGTAGAAGAAATGACCGCGAGATCGAAAATTCGTGGCAAGAAACCAATGAATGTATGAAAAATATAGAATTTACAGGAACAAATAGATTATTAGTTGAACCTCCGGATCATAATCCCTATGACTGGTTCAGAATGCTGGTAGATAATGAATTTTTGGAAATTATTGTAACCTAATGTAACAACTATGCCGTTGAAGTACTAGCTACTAGTAGTGGATCCAATCGATCAAGAATTAGTGAGTGGAAGGAATTGACTGTAAACAAATTCCATGTATTCTTGGGGTTAACTTTACATACTGGCACTATTAAACTTCCTACGTTGCAAGATTATTGGAAAAAACACCGATTGTTAACGACATGCTTTTCGAATTCTATGAGTAGAGATCGGTATTTGCTAATTATGCGATGTTTCCATTTTTCTAAAACTTGGAGAGAAGGTGAAAAAATTCGTGAAGATCGTCTTTTTAAGGTTAAACCCGTAATACACCATTTTAATGTTATGAAGAAAGTTTATTCGCCTAATAAACAACTTAGACGAGTCCATGGTGTTGTGGAAAGGAAGACTCATCTTCCGTCAATATCTTCCCATAAATACGGAATTAAATTATATATGGTGACGGAATTTTACAGTTTATGGTGGCGAACGTGATGTGCTTGGAGGTAAAGATCATGTAAAAAAAGTAGTGATGCATTTATTGAGTGATTACTTGGAAAAAGGCCATTCAGTGGTTATGGATAATTATTATAATAGTTATTACTTATCTAAAATGCTGTTGAAAAGAAACACTTATTGCACCGGAACGTTACGAAAAGACAGAAAAAATTAAAAAGGGGTGAAAGCAAAGCGATGTACCTTAATAAAATTATGATTGGTAAATGGCGAGACAAAAGGGATGTCATATACATTTCTTCAGAATTTCAAAGTAGTATGGAACTAGTGAGGAATCGAAGGAATAACAGGACCAACTACCCTTAGATGGTACAAGAAACTGGCCATCCACGTGTTTCAACTTATGATGATTAATTCACATATCCTATACAATAAGTATGATGGGGAAAAAATGACCTTGGGTAATTTCAAAATGTTAGTTTTAGAGAAACTATTACCAGTAAGTAACATAAAAAGAATGGACTATATGCTAACCAAAATTGCAGAGAATAATGAAAAAGGTCACACTTTGCGTAAAAAATGTCGCATTTGCACAAAAAAAAAGATAAGAAGACACTTTGTTTCACTGCCTTTCTTGTCCACACAACCCCGGACTATGCATGGGGGCATTTTTTGTTGAATATCACAAAAAAAGTAAAATCATTGTTTATTAGTCTTTACGATTTGCTGTAAAATGTTAAAATTTTATTTTATTTGAAGAGAAAGGTTATTTTATAAAAATATTTCGTAAAAATCGTTTTTTTTTGTAACTTGACCTTGACAACAAGATGTTTTTTAGCTACATAAAAATAATTGTGGTTGGAGATACGTTCAAAATTTATATACTTACTTTTTACTGAGACGCGAATTAGCGCCTTCCGCATTTTAAGCAAAGGGTTAATCTCTTGTTAATGATTTTTTAAAATTCGCCGAAATAGTGGCTAAAACGCCTCATTAAGTGCTATTTTCTGGTTTAAACTGGTGTAAATCATTGCAAGAAACGATTGATGACTCAGAGTGTACGATACGATAGTTACAGTCGCGTTTCAAAATTTAAAGCCCTTTGATTTTTTTTCTTGGAAACTAAAAATAATTAAAACTTTAAAATATAAGCATATTCTAGATATTATTGCCTAATTTATTTTGCCAAAATTTTAACTTTAAAAAAAATAAACTTTTTGAGATATGCTTGTCCGAAAATTATAAGGGGGTGCTGTACTCACCTTAAGACTTTAGCGATTTAATAAATTACTGTTTGTTCTTCATTTAATTAAAGATTTTATTATTTTTTTAAGCGAAATGTTTAGAAATACTGACTTCGCAAATAAAATACCGCGAAACTGATTTTTAGACCGAAAGAAAATTAACTTCCATCTCTTCGGTAAAAATGAATTTAAATTTTGAATTTTTCCAACTTTGCAGACGAATTCTATTCAAAACACGCACCGAAAATAAAACCATTATTCCTTCCATTCTCGATATAAAGAGTATTTGTGTGCGACCGAAAATTAAATTTTCATTATGTTCAAAAAGTGAAAATGAGAAAACCGTGTTCAAAAACATCACAAAATGAAATTGCCGCTGCTCTGGGGTTGTATTCCTCTGCCAAGTTTTAATACGAAAGTGGAAACCGTTTCCATTTGAATTAGTCTGCTTCGAGAATCTTATTACATTGTTCCTCTTAAAGTGAGTTTTTCATGTTTTCCGCCAAAGGAAAACCTTTCCTTTATTAGAAATATGAAATTTGATCGGGTGTAAATTTGAATAAGAGGTTAAATTATTATTAATTTATATTTTGTTACAACAAGAAATAATAGGTTTATACACTGAGAACCAAAAGTTCGTTATAGTAAAAAATTAAACCATTCAAAATAAAAACGGGGTCGACGAACTTTCGATTCATCTAGTACAGAGGGTCACTGCTAAAGTTCGCGGAAACAAGTACTCCTTGTATTGCCAGCGTTCTGCGATTGTCATATTCGTAAAATCTTACGTTTTCCACCTATCATTCAGTTGACAGTTCGATTTCAAACTGCTAGGTTTCGTTTCAACAAAATTTAACAAGAGTAATATTTGTGTGAAAAATGGAAATTTCGAATCGTGACTTCCGAGTGATGATTTTTTATGATTTTCGATACGGTTTAATACCGCAACAATGTGTGGAAAAACTTAGTTCATTATTTGGGGATGAAGCACCATCCAAAACTATGGTTTACAAATGATTCGCAGAATTCAAGCGTGAAAGACCAACGTTTGATGACGATCTTCGGGAAGGTCGTCCATGTACCTCTGCTGTCGCGAAAAATATTGGTGCTGAAATGCGTGAAATGATTTTGTCAGATCGGTATGTGACCTATCGTGAGATAGAGACATTCTTAGGCATTGCAGCGAAACAAAAACATACGATTTTGCACGATCATTTGCATGTCAGGAAGCTTTGCAGTCGTTGGATCCCACACAATTTGAAAGAAGAACAAAAACAGGCACGTGTCAAGTGGTGCAAGGAAATGCTAAACAAATTTGAAGAGGGTCGTTCAAATTCGGTATATAACATCGTAACAGGTGACGAATCTTGGATATATTCATATTAGCCTAAAACTAAACAGCAATCGACTGTATGGGTGTTCCAAAATGAATCTAAACGTGCGTTCACGAAGCGTTTCGAAAAGAATGATTGCTTGTTTCTTCGGAAAAACGGGTCATGTTTCAACTGTTGCATTAAAGGATCGAAGAACAGTTATTTGTGAGTGGTATATTTGTTTGCCGGAAGTTATCGCTGAAATCAGAAGGAACAACATAAACCGGCGAATCATTCTTCATCATGACAATGCAAGCGCTCACACAGCACGACAAACTGTAGAGTTTTTGACCAGTAACAACATCCAATTAATGACTTATTGCCCATATTTGCCTGATTTATCGCCCACCGACTTCTTCCTATTTCGAGATATCAAAAATAAAATGCGTGGCGAGCGTTTTTCATCGCCTGAAGAGGCTATTGAAGCATTTAAATCACTTGTTTTGAAGGTACCTCGCTCAGAATGGCAAAATTGTTTTGAAGATTAGTGTCGTCATCGGATGCAAAAGTGTATAGATTTTAAAGGAGGATATTTTGAGAAGCAATAAAGCGATTTACATAACGTAATTTGTGTTTTGCTTTACATTTTCCACGAACTTTGGCAGTGTGCCTCTCTATAACC